TCTTGAGCTAATTTTCATTTTATCAACTTTTTCTAGTAATTTTTTTTTGTTGCTATTTCTATGGTTTAACAGTTAACCTTTCAAGTCAAGCCCTATGTAATCAATGGTGAATATTGGGAAAAATAAGGCTAGTCATGTTTCACTATTTTCTCTGTACGACCAACTTGATGTAATTTAAAGAGAAATAAATTTTAGGTAATGAAAATTAAGAGGCGAAAATAAAATTTATAGCATCCAATTACAAACCAAAAGTGTGATAAGCTCCAAATAAAATTAACAACACATACGTTAGCAATATAGCCAAATTCTAATATTATGAGGTAAAAACGTACGTGCTTTACTGCTATAGTCTCTTGCACTTTCTTTGCACTATCGTGCTTCCATAGTGGTAATTGACACTCGATTGTTGGAATGAACTAGAGCTCTAGCAGCAGCTTCTGAGTTTGAATCATTGTATTTGCTTTGGATGATGAATGATGGCTTCCTGGGAGATGGAAGATGTGTTGCATTGCTTAACATGAAAACAACATCAGACATTGCTGGTCTATCTGCTGATGATTCCTGGACGCATAAAAATCCTATATGAATGCACTTCATCACTTGGTCTTCAGATACTTGTTCTCCCATTATGGATGGATCCACTATATCCGATGCTCTTCCTTTTCTCCATAAATTCCACACCTAGAATCCAAGAGTACTTACTAGTTACTACCAAGTGCCAATTTGGTATCATATTTAAAAGACGTTACTTACATGATCAATCAAGCTGAACGATGGGCTTTCTTGGTAGCAGTCGTTGCTTCTCATGCCGCTAACTATCTCAAGTATCAGTATCCCAAAGCTGAAGACATCCGATTTCGTCGAGTATACGCCATTCATTGCATATTCGGGAGACATGTACCCACTGCAGGATTTCATCCGTAACCACAAAAGCATTAAGTATTTCAAATAGGTTTGCAATATTAACTTTCGAATATGAATTTTCTTACTACGTTCCAACAACTCTCGTAGTATTGCCCTCCATTTGATCTTCATCGAACAATCTAGCCATCCCAAAGTCGGAAATTTTGGGGTTCATTGCACCATCAAGTAGAACATTACTGGGCTTTAGATCTCTATGGATGATTTTCAACCTGGAGTCTTGGTGTAGATATAATAGACCCCTGGCAATTCCAATAATGATATCAAACCGCATCTTCCAATCCAACAACAAGCCTTTTGTTTTATCTGCATTAACGAAACAACCAATTTCACTCTACTTGGTTCACAACATGAAATCAAAGAAATATATTAAGTCAAATTGTTCTAACTATCGAAAATTTTAAACATTGAAGATCCAAATTAACATGAAAAAAAGGAGAAAACTTACCAAAGATGAAGAAATCTAAACTTTTGTTTCGCAAGTACTCATAAACCAACATCTTTTCCGATCCATGAATGCAACAACCAAATAGCCTTGCTAGATTCTTATGTTGGAGTTTAGACACTAGCCTTACTTCATTCTTGAACTCTTGCACTCCTTGTCTCGAAGTCTGCGACAATCTTTTCACAGCAACCTCTCTCTCGTCTAGTAGCAAACCCTAGCCATAATTAACAAAGATTTTAACTTCAATATAAGCTTTCTAAATTTAGGACAATATTATAGAATTTTACCTTATAGACAGAACCAAAACCGCCTTGTCCAAGCTTGTTAGCCAAAGAAAAATTTTTCGTAGCAACAAATATGTCATTTACGTCGAAAATTGGTACAGGAGAATCCTTATCGACATATAAGTTTTCCTTCTCGTTATCATACTCTGTTCCAAGACTTACAATACGATTGCTTCCTGCATTTTCCCCAATAAATATTATAGAAAAAATTAGATACGAGCTCTGTTTTCATAACCGCATCGTAGGCTGAATCGAAAAAGTTAGTGGTTTAGGGTCAAGTGGTTAACCATTACAAAACTGTTGATGAACCGTTCATGATATATAACATATAAGATTTTTATATTATACTCATTTAAGAATGAAATTATCGTCGACCATAAAAAATTTCAAATTCATATTATCACCAAAATATCAAATAAATCATTCAAATCATCTCACAAAAGAAATCATATTTTTTTATACAAATTAAAAATTACGGTGTCAGCCGGTAGTGGACAACGTAAAGTCAAAAACAAGGTGGGAATGATAAGAGGAAGTATATATAACATTAATAATTATGGTTTGAAGATCTTATTTTATATTAAAGTATTTTTTTAAACATTTTTTGTTAAAATAGTGAACGAGTGGACCAGTTAAACCGTGGCAGTTCATCTGATTTTATGTTGAACTGTGAAAAACCGTTTGGTCCATAAATAACCGTTCAAGCAATGAACCGAATCGCTATCGTAACTGATTTGATGGTTCTACTGGTCCGACCGTTGATCCGATTCGGTTCTTATAACAATGAATACGAGAATATAGAGGACCTTTTCTGGTCATTCATACAATAAAAAGAATGAAAGGAGGTTGGTTAACAAGTTGTTCAACCTGCACATATCGTGTAAATGACCTTTTACTAACCTTTTCTTTTTCTCTTCCTTTTCAGCCGACAATATGCAATGGAAATCGCCAAAACAATGGCCGCGCCGCCGATTGAGGTGAAAACAAGAGCTAATAGTCCTCTTAACTTATTCCTGTATTGAACTGAATCGCAATAATGAAGTTGATGTTAACATTCACTTGCACGAACAAATATAATGTAATCAGTAATTCACCAGTGCTCCGAGAGTCCGAGTCTACATTAACAAATCACATTAACTGGTATTTTTGGAGTTCTAAACTACCTAATTATGTGGGATTCCCCTGTTGTGGTCAAGTTTAGTTGGTTTAGTGGTGAAATTTTTGGTGGCTTAATTACTAATATATAATTGACCCGTGTTTCGCTGCGGTTTATCTAAAAATGTATATGTCAATTAGAATTGAAAAACACTTTAATTTAAATGAAAGTTGGTGATATTAGAACACGAAATAAGCTTTTCAATAATCATTAACTTTTGAGATACGAATATAGTTTTTTATTCAATAATTTTTTTAAGTTTTCGGACACGCATTACAAAATATATAATAACGAAATCAAGTAATGATGGTCATCCAATCTCAATTGAACCAAATCTAATGATACTTAACAAATAGTTAAAAAAAAAATATTTAACATACAGTTAGGTGGTAAGTCATTGTGTGTGTGTAAATTTCTATATGTAATGACCTTTAAACTTGGACAACGAACATACCATAATTGATTTGGCCATAACAAAGTCTACTAATGAAGTATAACATAAGTTCTTGCGTGAGGTCGTGCGAATAGTGGTCAGGCTAATTTAGCTACTTTAATTCATTAGTAGTATTTTTTATTTTGACAGTGGTTGGTTACGGGTAATCGAAAGTTACCGGGCATATTAAATCTCATTAAGGGATGAAAATACTTAGTTATTCCATGTAACCATGTCCATGTGCATATTAGTTTTATCCCTAATTGATGAGTAGTGGTTTAAGTTGATTAGTAATTAATCATTACTTGGAAAGTCAGTGACCAACACCCAATGATTGCCATATCTAAAATATTGTTCCAAGCTAGGGGTGGAATTGTGGAAGTTTGGCTTAACTGTTTGGGATCCATCAAATATCACACAAAATTTATCATTATTTGGTATTATCAATTCTTGAGTTAATTTTTTGGGGTTTGTGATTGACATTGATTTTTAAGTAGTAATCAATATTCTAGATATGCAATTGGAATTGATTTATACCAAGATATCGAGCATTAAAAAAAACATTATATAATAAATGAAGGACACGATTAATCCTTAATAACCAAATGTATAATTAACTATATGATTGTAAGGAATGACTAATTCTTATTGACTTGTGTGTATGCTCTATCTTAGAAGAATGAATTGCTTAATTGTATTGATGAGTAATTATAGTTAAACTAAATTGAGATTTAGAGAATTATGAGTGATTTAATAATATTGAAGTATAAGTTCTGTACATGTGATTGTAATAAATAGTTAATTATTAGTTACTAATGTTTATGTTTATGATAAAATATTTTAGAAGAGTGAATTATTTAGTTGTATTGATGAATGATTAAAGTGAAACTAAATTAAGATTTAGAGAATTATGAATTATTTAATAATAGGTAAGTATAAGTTTAGTCAATTGAACATAATACCCCAGTATTTATATACACAAAGAGTAAGTTTTCAATATCTCGTGTTCAATTCAAACAACCTTATTGTTTGTAATATAACGCTATTTAATTTAGTATTTGGTATATAACTCTTTGTTTACCTTGCTGATTTTGCGTCAAAAGATTTGTTGTGTTACACTTGCCCCTCCTAACCCAGTTTGTATGTTTGGGAGTATAAGCTGCTATACTAATATCATATCAAACTATTTTACATTGAGATTGATTTGATCGGTATTTAGCATTTGAGGTACCAATAAACTTATTTTTCCTAGTCATAGCAAAGTTCATGCACTGATTAATGACTAATGACATGTAAAACTTGCAACTAAGTATAACATTTAATTAGTCACGAATCTACGGCAGAAAAATGTGGGAGAAGAAAAAAGCTCTTTAACATAAGTTCTAGTGAAAGAGGAAACTTTCCTAATCAACGTGGGTTAAATAGAAAAAAAAAACTGATACGTGAGAAGGAAAAAAACTCAATTAAGGTAAGTTCTAACAAAAGGGGGTAACTTGCCTAACCAATAGTTAGAAAAACATGCATTATAGAAAAAAAATATTTTTTAACGTAAGTGTCAGTTAATCCTACGGTACACCCTCACACATCCTAGTAGACCCTTTAAGCATACTTCGCAGGACGCAGCCACCCACACAACGAATTTTGTCGAACATTCATATAAGTCCGCTTGGGCTAGCTAGTCAAATTTGGTTTCGGTTTACTTTGTTGCGAAACATTATTTCAAAAAGACACTTGGGAACATGATGTTTACTCCTTTCCGAATTAATTTGGTCTCCTGAAGCCGGAGGGAAACAGAGTATATAGACAGAGAACAGAGTCCCTGATCGATTCTAGTTGAAAATCCGCATGATTTATCATTTTCACACTGCCGATTGCGCAGATGCAAATAGCGTTTCCAGAGTCAGCATAATTAATCTCGAACCCATCTCTCAAAGCTGGTCCCAGCAACGACCCATTAGCCATAACCCCAGCGTAAACATCAGAAATGGGGGCGGTAAACGAAGTGTTGCACCGAGAGCGAAGCATGCTGCTGACACCCGGGAGCGAAGTATAGTTGCAGTTGTAAAACAGGGTGAGATTTTCTGTTTTGGCGGCGGTGAAGTTTGAGCTGGCGAGGGTGGCGTTTTGTACATCCCGGGTGCAGCCGGCGGTGTCGTGGAGGTCGGGACGGGACTCGTCGATGTGAAGGATTCTGTACTCGAGGAAGTTTATGGTAAGAAGAGCCGTGGAGTTGTCGAGGCATGTGAGGTTGAAGCCCGGCGAGCCGCAGTAGTGAGGGCGTCGGCCGCCTGTGAATGGGAAATCGATGTTTGTGATGCTGCCCCTGGAGGAGGACTCGTGGCAGCCGGAAAGATTGCCATCGGGAGGTAACGATGACGACGCGGTGGCAAAGAAGGCAAAGAAGAGGAACGAGATGAGTGGTAGAGGGTACATTGGCGCGATGGAAGCTGGGCAATCAGCAATGGCAGTGAGATTGACAGGGGAATGGGCAACAAGGAAGAGAGAAAGAAAGTGAGGGTTAGTCATTAGTGGGGAATGGAGGTCTTTGGGGAAAGCAGGACACTAGGTGGTTGACTTGGACTTTGCTCTGTGTTAGGCTACAGCCTAATTATTCTGCTAACTTGAAAATTAGTTAGTATATACTAACTAATATCCAAAATGTATGAACTAATATCCAAGTCTGTTCTTGACTTGTAATTCTGGTCTTCTGGTTGCCTCTTGGAAAGTCCTCACCGAGAACAAATCCACAAAGCAAACGACACCTAGAATATCCTTTGTGTAGTGGCGTACTTAACTACTTCCAAGTTCAAGGAATCAGTCGAAAAAAGATCAAGGCACTACCAAAACACACAAACATGCATCTTCTTTTCTTCAGATGCTTAAAACTGCTCAAATACCCCAGCCCAAATGGACAACTCTAATTACTTGATGTTTATGAATAGAACATAAATTAGGAGAAGAAAAAGAATTACACAGCTAAAATCGACGTGATATATATGCTACACTTGAGAGAAAGAAGCAACTGGTACCGATTTCTTTTTCGCGCGCTAACCACAGCCCCAGGTTTAAGCAGTTTGGGGATCTTGCATTCGTAGATCCGTGCACCCAGAAAACATTTTTTGTTAAACTCCGAAGTTGCATTGTTGGACAAACTCCAACTCATAATCAACAAACTTTGTCCACAACGGTTTGAATTGGGTCATGGCTATATCAAGCCATGGCTTCATGTTCCCATTGAAGTGAACCACTGCTGCATTCCGGATCTCATCCATGCTAATGCTTGGGTTGTACCCAAGCCCCAGCACATGCCACGACTTGTCCAGTGGTTTCGTTGTTGAGTAGTATGTGATCAGCCCTGGAGGTAGTGTCCCGAGCTTCCACAATGTCCGGTTCTCGTTCTGCAAATCAAACCCCAAGTCAATAATTCTAGACTTCTGACATTCATCATTTTCAAGTCGAGCATCATTTTCAAGTCGAAATCATGGTGAGGAATTGACATTCGATGAGCAGCGCATGCGCTACAAAGGGCTACACATGATGGACGTTTATAGAAATCAAACCACTTCAACACATTTATGCCAAAGGATTCACAAACAACCATGGGGTTTCAATAGTCTTACCAGAGTCTGCCAGTAATGATATTCCTCTGTGCATTTCTCCCTCCTCCAAGCATCCAAATCAAAGAAGTTCATTCCATAAGCCCAGGCACATGCCTTTGGATTAAACTTAGCCTTAATCAAAGGATGTGAGAAGTTCATGTACTGGGCATATCTATGGAATGACCCGAAACAAGTCTCCACAGCCCCAATCACCTTCCCATCCATATCGATCTCCCACAAACCTGTTAAGTCCTTCTGTACCACGATGTCGTCATCTAAGAACAATATCCGATGCAGCTTTGGGTACATCTCGGGCAAATAAAACCTCAGATGATTCAAGATCGACAAGTACTTGGGGTTCCTGAACTTCATGTTTGTGGTATCCTTAGTTGCATTCTCAAGCTTGTTCTCGAAGTAGAACTTCTGCAGATTCGCAGACTCCAATTGCTTCAGCACGGGGACATAAGAAGAATTCAGGAACTTATAGTCCTCAACAGCTTTCACTTCAATGTGAGCCCCATTGTAATCCTTCAACTTGAACATAACCTGCATTGCCCCAAGATTCATTTTATCCGTCACCACGTGAAAAACGTGCTTCCACGGCTCCTTTGCATTCTTGACAGCTGAATTCACCACAACTGATGCAGCAATCACATTATCGGAAAATATGGCGTAGTGGTAAAGTGTAGGATCCTCCAACTCGGGAGCCTGTGGCTTCCCTTGGTCGGAATATTTCTCAGGATGAGCAATCCTTTCCTCCATCAGCCGCATTGCCAGACAATGCAAGCTTTTGGGGATGGATTTTGCAGCAATCAGACTCGAGAAAGCCCCTTGCTTCTTAGCCTTGGTCAGGAGCTCGTTGAGGCTAAAAATGATGTCTTTCAGCTTCTGAATCTTGAGCTGATTGTCGAAACTCTCTTTTGCCTCAGAGATCACTTGGCGGGTGACCTTGATCCGCTCCTTAACGTCCTTCTCAAACTGTCGCAGCGTGGATTCTTCCATAATCGATGTGGAATCTGACTCAAACAGAGCCCTGTAGGCAGGCTTGTTGATAAGATCAGTGTAGTTCCGCGACAAGTCTGCGAAGATCCTGAGAAGCTTGGAATTCTCAAGCTTAAGCTTCCTTGCGTAGGAGGCATAAGCCAGAGCCAGAGAGCGGTGATCATCCGCTTGCTTCCGGATCTGGTCCAATCGTGGCTTCAGCGGATCCGTCTTCAATGCCAATACAGATCTCCTCCCAGATCCAAGATCGTGCGAAACACCTCCCAAACCCTAGTCCCAGAAGAAGGGGAATAAACGGAGAACAATATGAGAATTCAATGAAAGTCCATTGTCGTTGGAAAATTTTTAACGGAAAGCGCAGCCAAAATTAAACGCCAAACTAAATCATCATCAGCATCATTATCATTAAAAGCTGAACAAAAACTCGTACTAAGGAAGACACTTACGATTAAGAGGAAGACCCAAACAAACAAACGCAACGCGAGATCGGAAGCGTAGAAATCACATTACTTCCGTAAAGAAATTAAGTACAGAAAGAAAAGAAAGACGGCAACCGTAATCGCTATTGGCAATTGGATCCAAATTGGGAAAGGAAAAAAGAGAGGCGACAGAGAAATGGCAACTTACGAAGTGGTGAGGGATGGAGGAAGTGGGGGACTGAGTGTGAGAAGTGAAGAGGAAGGAGGAAGCGACGAAGATGAAGACAGCGACCGTAATGGCGTAAGCGAGCAATCTGAAGGCGCGAGCAGTGAATCCTCCCGCCACCGAGCGGTGGCCTCGATGATTCGCCATGGACGGGATTCAGAGGAAGTTCGATCGAAGAAGGAAAGTTACTGACGAAAAGGAAGGGGAGGGAAGGGTGCCCCGCGATGCTTTTGGGCCAGTTTTAACCGAAAAGATTTTGTAGAGAGCTTTGTTCCAAGAATAAGAAATTTTAGTATGATAAAAGAAAAACAATAAGAAATTTCAGAAACTTGGGGGGAAAAAACTGGCCGAGATTATTCCGTTGATTTCACCGGTAGGAGTGGACGGAGGAGATTCAGTGGGTTCCAGTTCATTTAGAGCTGAGGTGGGGAGTACACTGTGGGAAGTGGCGGTGGCTCAGCCACTTCAAGTGTGAAAGAAAGCGTCGGCTGGCTGACTCCAACGGGTCGTTTGGGGTTGTGATTGTCTAAATCAAAGTTGTTTTTTTCCCGGTTTAGCTCTTTGATTCGGTAGAGTAAGTGGGTTGAAATAAAATTATCCGATCGTTAGGCCATTCACTATGATTGGATAGGAATTTTGGGTGGGTTAGGGGGAATTTGGATTTTTTGGGTTTTGCGGTGGGAAACCCCATAATGGGTTGGGAGAGAAAAGAGTGAAAAGTGGGGAGGGGTGTTTTTTGATGAATATGATTTAGTGTTGATTTTGTGACTTTAGTTAAATAATTTGATCGTTCTTTTTATATAGATAGTAATAATTAATTAAAACGAACATTATGATATAATTTTTTTAATTTGGAGATAATTTTTTTGTCATTAATTAAATATGACATCATCAATAACGAAATCACAATAATGTTTCAGAAGACCATGACTCATCACATGTTTCACAAAATGAGTTGTGTCATCAACTATTAATCCAACTTTGGTCAGAATGAGTGGTTGCATCAACTGTTTCTCCAGTTTTAATCAGAAAGAGTGGTGTCATCAACTGTTCCTCCAGCTTTATTCAAAATGAGTGGTGTCATCAACTGTTCCTCCAACTTTAATCACATTGAGTGGTGTCATCAACTGTTCATCCAACATTAATCACATTGTTGCTGAAGGAATCTTTTCGTGTTTCTATAAATGAAGGCTAAAATTTGTCATTATACTCATCCACACCATTTAACCTTGTTCATTTTTGCAACTTCATACTTCTCTCTTCACACCAAAATCTCCACCTGCATCATGAGTTTCCCAAACAGAGAAGCAGAGGAGAGCCAGCAGGGAGCCGATGATAGGCAATGGGATTATGAGTGCTAGCTTGACCGTGAACATCAACAAATGATTGTGACGGCAGGAGCCTTCCTGTTCCAACAACAAGCATCTTCATCTCATCATCGTTCACACACTCATAAATTGGTGTTTCATAACAGGGTAGAAGCACACCAACGCTTGATGCAACAATATTTCGTCCCAAATCCAACATACGATGCTAGGTTCTTCCGAAAAAGATTCGGATGCCCCTCTCCTTGTTCAACCGAGTCAAGACAGACATCATTCAACACGATTCCTATTTCCAACAAGGTCAAGATGCCGCGGGTCGCCCCTCCTTCTCCCCTGAACAAAAGATTACTACTTCCCTTCGGATGCTTGCAAATGGATGCTCAGCCGACTCCATAGATGAGACCTTTGATATGGGCGAGACGACTGTACTGCACTGCATGCGGAAATTTTGTAATGTCATCATCTGCATCTATGGTCCTGAGTACTTACGAGCACCAAATGTGGAGGATCTTTGTCACCTTCTTGATCACAGCAAAAGGCGTGGCTTCCCGGGTATGATCGGCTCAATCGACTGCATGCACTGGCAGTGGAAAAATTGTTCAATGGCTTGACAAGGCCAATATACTGGATACAAGGGGGAACCAACCATTGTCCACGAAGCTGTAGCATCATATGACATGTGGATTTGGCATGCCTTCTTCGAAAATGCTGAGTCAAACAACGACTTGAACACTCTTGGAGTCTCGCCACTTTTCCATGAAGCAGTCAGACGAAATCTTCCAAAAAGCCAGGTTTACAATAAATGGTACAATTTATGATCAATATTATTACTCGACGGACAAGATTTATCCTCAGTGGTTTACATTTGTGAAGACCATTAGCAATCCTAGTAAACAAGAAGAAGAAGTTGTTTGTAAAATGGCAAGAGTCATACCGCAAGGATGTTGAGAGAGTCTTTGGCATTCTACAAGAAAGATGGGCCATTGTTAGAATACCTGGTCGGTTTTGGGATGTGCAAACACTTGGAGAAATTATGTTAACATGTGTTATTCTACATAATATGATAATTGAGGATCAACGACATTAGTTTGGAGAGGAAGAAGCGGAGCGAATTGAGTATGAGACTAATCCAGATGTCTCATTAGATCCACCAGATCATGACACTCCGACCCTCATGGAGTACATGATGATGCACAATAGGATTTGCAATCGCGAAGGCCATCACGCGTTGAGAGATGACTTGGTTGAGCATCTGTGGACAAAAGCAGGCGGAAAATAGTAGAACAATGATGTGTACTAAGTTTGTTTTATATATTGTGTGCTAAGTTAAGTTTGTTTTATGTATTATGTGCTTAACTTGTTTTATGTATCGTGTGCTAATTTATGCTATGTGTTTGTATTGTTGTACTTTTTCTTATTTCATCAATGCATTTTCCCTTTTCTTGGTCATCATTAAAGAAAATAGTTGCATTAATAGTTGAACTGCATTCCAATAATAAAAATGATACATCAAGGGTGAATTCAAAGTAAATAAAGCAAACACACTTTAATAACACACACTTAAAATAAAACATACATCCTGCAAACACACTTAAAGCAAATGCAACTTATTCAAGATTACTGGTCGGGGTGTAAGTGTCATCATATGGGCTATTGGTAGACTCCTCTGGTGTATGGCTTGGAGTTGGCTGATATGCAGACATAATCTGATCTCTTTGAGCTTGATACCATGCTCTTTGTTGAGGATCCAATTGAGAAAGATCCTGAAGCATGATCTCTCGTTCGTATTTGGCATTTTCCCTAGCTTCCTTAGCCTTCTCCCTTTCCTCCCTACTGATAGCCAATCTCCCATGTGTTGCTGAACTTGCCGCCATTTCTGCTAAGCTCTTTTGGAAAGCCTCCATGGTAGAAGAATCACCACCTCCTCTTCTCTTCCTCTTTGACTGATCTCGACCTGCCGGATGGTTGAGCACGTTTGGGGAAGCAGTTGCTTGAACTCCAAAACTATCATCTTCATCGTTTGACATGGTCGAGAAAGATCCATCCATTGGAGGAATGGGTGCAACGGGGCATAAAATTGGTGCATGAATCTGGGAGAATCTTTGAGTAGATTCTAACATCTTGAAACTTTCATTCGCTCTTGGTGTGCGCATAATAAATAGACTTTGCATGTTCCATCTAGGAAATTAATAAAGAAAATAATATAAAATGTTAAATAACAATAATATACTATTAAAAATTTGAAAATTAAAAAATTTAACTAATAATAATTAAATTCGTAACTAAAGTAAAAAAGAACATATGCATAATTAAAAAATGAGACACAAGATTAACTAACCACGCCAACTTGGTTGGATCCGCTTAATGGGTTAACACTTGCATTCGTCCATGACGCATTCCACTTCCCACATACATAGTTGATGGTCTTCCATCTAGCTTTCAAGGCATCATCAGTACGGAGCACAACAAAGCCTTTCGAACGATATAACTTTCCCACTTTTTGCCAAAATGCCACCGAGGCTTGATGATGACCGACAATTGGATCTTCATAAGCTTCTATCCAAGTCTCGCACAAAGCATAATTTGTATTGTTTGAATATATGCATTTGACAAATACGTATAATGTGATTCAACTTTTGCAAATAAAAAATCAACACTCCTTTTAGTAAAGAAAGACAAGTTTGCCCTTTCCTTTCTCCTGCAGCAATTCAACAAGGTGACTTGTTAGAAGAATGCCCCTGCCGAAACAGGGAGGAGCAATAGTTGAGCGCGAAATAGAAAAGGACACATAGAGATTGGGGATCTATCTCTAATTCTCAAAACTCATGGACTCATTGTTGTTTTAGTTTGATATTGGAGAAAATATCATAGCATTGGACCCTCATGTATTTGGACACTACTTGCCAATGCTTCGCACATTGGCAAGTAATATCCAAATACTCGAGAAAACCCAAATCATTGAAGATCTCACATTAAAAAGTAATGTTCAAACACAGTATTTGACCCTCGTATATTTGAACACTACTTGCCAATGCTTCTCACATTGACCAGAAATCTCATAAAACATACAACAAGTTTCTTAAAACATATCAGAACCCTCATAAACGTGGACCTATTTGTAATTTTTAAAAATATTTAGGTATCAAAAGTAAGACATACAAATTTGAAATACAAAAATGTCTTCTTCATCAATATTTTAGGATCTATATGCAAAAAAATTAATAATATGTATTCTATTTAAATCTATATGCAAATTGTAATTGCATATGAAATCCAAATCCAAGGGACGAATGGGGAAATGAGTTGCTCCTATAAGTCGGTAATTCTTATAATATCTTTAATGACTATATTAGAATGGTGCTAACACTAAGTCACTAAAAGGTGTTAGCACTTCATCCAATCTTTATGTAGTCTAAAAATTGTGTAAGAGATTATTATGTTGACAACCTTTGAATTTTTAGTTGAGCTCTTAAGTTAATTAAACCTAAGTGCCATGAATTCGAATTAAAAAATTATCGAGTGATCAAGGGGTTATTTGCTTCATCGATTGTAAATTTATATTTAAAGCTTTAAATTCATAACTATAATATCCTTTAGCAAATCTAACAAACAAACAACAAAATATTATTACTTTGTAAATCCTCATAAAGTTAGAGTTTTGAATAAAATCCTCTTTTATAAATCCAACAAACAAATAACCAACTCCTAAGTCAATGGTCAATAGCATTGGTAAACAGTTACTCCAAAATTTGAGAACAATTGGTTAAAGTATATGTATCAATAATAAATTTGAGCATAACAGTTAAGAAATCAAGGCAAAACTTTATACATCGATAGTTTATAAACCTACACTACGCGGACAAGTTATGATTAGATAATTGAACAATCATGAGTGTATATGATATATGTGATTAAAATTTTCAACACAGGCGTGTAATAGACATAACAAACAATCAATAATCAATAATTAGACGTCTCAACATAACAATGTATATTTCTTATGTCAATTATAAAATAATCATTTTTATAAAAAAAAAATTATAAAATAATCATTGATTGAGTGTTGAGTTCTTTTGATTGAGAAATGAGTGTATACTCTATGAGGTCTCATAAACATACATTAAGGTTATTATGAAGATGAAAAATAGTTAGATATGAGGATAAATTGATTTTACATAATAATAAAAATTTGTCTAGTCTATTGGTTGGTTATTTGCGTTCAAGAAATATTCTCAGTGGAGAATCATCCAATGAGCAAAACAATGAACCAATTCCATCTTCAAACTTTTGGTGTAAGTACCGTAGTCAATATGTATTAACAGCAAATTATGTACATTTTACAATTTTATATTTATCCATACCTAGTGTGTTTTAGCAAGAGAGGAGATTTGTTTTAATACGAGTAGAAATTGTGTAGACTATAAACAATCTTTATTTTAAACACAAAATAAATATTGAAACTTACGTTTTAAAATTGCATGCCACAAGGTAATAGTTGTGACTGTCAATATTGTCATCATACCTCATTAACACTACTACTATGTTTTCCTTCAACTATCAATATTGTCATCATCCTCAATTACCAAATCAACAATTTTGTTGCCCCAAAGTACTATATTATGGATAATGATATATTATGTTTGAAGCTATGTTAATTTATTAAATTAATCTGCATTAACATTTCTACGTAGTGCAACAATAAGTGTTATTCTCGCAAATATTTGTCTAAGAACATAATTATTAAAAACCATGTTTTATTATAGATTTTTTTATGTTAAAGCTTCAAATTTTGAAAGTTATTGACATTGAATCAAGGAGAAATCCACGATCAATGAATCTATGTCTTTTGTTGTGTGTTATAAGTTAGAAGTTTCAGAAAACCAAATTTTGATTTCACAAATATTGTTTTTGTGATAAAAGTGATGGGATGCATCACATCCTCCAAGGAGAGTAAAAATGAAAATCAATCTCCACCAAAATATTACAAGAGCTCAACGAATTGAGAATGAAATATAGAGAGGAGGTAAACAACAATTTCAATCAAGCAACTCATTAATATTAAAATGCTAACTCTTTTTCTAATATTTAGAACAATTTGTACTCCTTCATACAAAGTTGTTAGAGTTGGAAATTTGTATGTAGCATATGCCTATCTACCAAACGTGGAAAAGACCCGCGAGTAATTTTTGTTTTCATTGAAATGCGGGGGAAGAAGAAAGAGTGTTAAAAAATTTCACAGCAGAGTGTTAATATTGAGGATTTTGCTACGGTGACTTGCAAGTCACCATGACTTGGAAAAAACGGCCGACCTCTTCACTGATATGGTCGACCTATTTGGACAAAACGGTCGCCCTCTTCACTAATATGGTCGACCTAATTGTTGGAATGGTCGACCAGATGTACTATTTTCCATGTTGCTATGTTCAACACACGGTTGTCCTCTTCCACTAAAAGGTTGTCCACTACACAAAAAAATGGTCTACCACTTCCATCAAGTGGTCTACCTCTTTCCCCAAGCGATCAACCACTTTCAATAATTGGTCCACCTGATGAACCATTGTTAGTGATATCATCATATACAATTAGAGTCCAATAATAATGTATATGCTTGCTAGTAAGAGATTCAAAATTAGTACAAAGGTTGCAACTTGCAAGCATATATGACAAGTTTCTCGAGTGATTGTTCTCCCATAGATTTGAAAAATGTTCCGCATATTTATTTCCTATATTTGACTTACTCTATAAAGATTTTCATCTTTCCTTCAAACTCTAAGTTTTCTTGTTTCTATCATATAGTTTTCTTGTGATGGATCAACTTTGTTGCTTTGTTGTTATGAAGATGCTAAAAAAAAGTAAAGTATATTTGTTATACAATTGTGTCCTCTTCAACGTCTATAAATCTCATATAATCGCTTTTGTGGATTTTATACCAGAAGAGTTAAAAGAGGGTGTTTCTTTTTATCTTGACCTATAATCTGCGTAGGGAATTGGTTGCCCACAAGTGATAGAATATTGTGTTACTATTGTCCATTATTTTCCTAATATAAGTATAAGGTTACTGTGTCATCTGGTCGACCGTTCGTCGGAAGCGGAGATCATTCGCTGAAAGAGGTACGTAAACCATTTTGTGGAATAGGTAGGTGACTCACTTCTACTGTCACCCTAGGAATTGGCCAAGTGAAACCACTTCCTAAAGCGTAGTATAGCGGGTTTGGGTTTAAATGTCAACCCGGGTCCTAGATTTGATGACTACTCGGTGAATTCTTGTTATCTAGCAATGAAACTTTAATGCAAGTCTAAACTAACAAACTAACAAAGCAAGTAAACGGTTGTATTCAGGTTAAGAGAGGTCACCCGGATATGGTTCCCCCTATACTGCAGTTAAGCCGGATTATAATTACCAAGTTCAGTTTCTATGATAGTTATACTACGGAAGGTTCTTAAACATCCTGAAATCTCGACTAAAGGTCTTCAGACCCTCTCAATCTGAGTCTCTAGCGGGCGACTAACCTCCACCGGAGTAAACAGATTGAGGCCCTATGAACAAAACCTCCACTACCGAAGTGAATTCGGTACAGAATAGTGAGTTGGCTCCTCGACTAAAGTCACCAACTCCCTACCTTCAATCAAGGATGCTCTATCAACCTAGGCAGATATTCTCATTCTAGGTTAAAGAAGAAACAACAGGAATTTGATCAGGATTCATGCCATTCAATCATTCAAACCTCAATCGAATATAATCAAATCATAGAATCAGTACTTGGGTTCATACAATCAAACCTAACATACAAATCTAGGGTTCTCCATACCCAGATGAATGGGAGAACTACTCCATGGAGAAAGAAGCAAAAGCAGAATCAGACGCGGAATTCATACTGTGAAGGATGGATTCCTGCTCCTCGACGTTGATCGGCACTTCTCCAAACTCAAACTGACCTCCAATGGTGATGAAGATCAAGCTAGGGCACTTGGGAACTCTTGTTCGTCACTTTCTCACTCTAGGAATCGATCTCTCTCTCTAAAACTCGATTCCCCTTGATCTTTGGCCTTCTTTTCCTTTTAAACAGCTGCCTGTCGCGATACCCGGTCGAAATACCCGGTCGGGTATTTTGGGTCACGACCGGGTATAGTTGAAACGCACGTTTCATGCTAGGGGAAAATCCCCGGTCTCATCCAATAATCCCCGGTCGGGGATTTCTGCCTTCCAGACCGGGACCCTCCCTGTTTCTCAGATGCCAAAATGGAAAATCCCCGGCCTCCTCAGAATAATACCCGGTCGGGTATTGTTGGTCATGGCCGGGTATTTTCTTCCTCCAGCCCACTTCAAGCCTCACTTGCTCCTTTCGACCCGAATCTCGTTCCTTCGCCTCGATTCCAACGCCGGGTCCTGAAATATGACATAAACACACAACCTCGCGTGAAATCGGCTTAAAACCCGAGAGTCAACCTCTCAAACGGCTCAAGAATAGGGGTGAAAATACGTGTAATTATCGGTCTATCAGTAGGCTGTTTTGGCGAAAGCAGTCTACCTCCTCCAACAAGTAAGTGTAAGTTGAAGGTAAGTGTGACAAGGTCGACCCATTATCAGAAGCGGTAGACCGTTTGCCTCAAGTGGTAGACCGCTTGGTGGAAGTGGTAAACCATTTTCTTGGAAAGTGATCAACCACTTAAAGATAATTAGTGTCATCAGGTCGACCATTTTCATGGAAAGTGGTCAACCACTTGGTGGAAGAGGTTGACCACTTGAATATAAGTGTGTCATCAAGTCGACCCATTTCCGAAAGTGGTAGACCGATTGACTCAAGTGGTAGACCACTTGATGGAAGAGGTATACCATTTTCTTGAAAAGTGGCCGACAACTTATGGAAGAGGTCGACCGTTTTCTCCAAGTTACGGTGACTTGTAAGTCACCATAGGCATACCCTAATATTGAAGGTAGGGGATTTAAAAATGGAGATAATGACATTGTTGACAAGAAGAAAGATAATATTGATGGTGGAGATTTTTGTTTTTGTTTGACTTGATATGTTTTTCAAAGGTATATACTAATTATTAGTCAAACATTTACCGCATTTTTCTAATATTAACCAAATCTTTCAAAACACAAAATATTAGTCAAATCTTTTGTAATGCATAAATATATTAGCAATTTTTTGTTACCATTAATAATTTAATAACTATTTTCTTAGTTAAAATACTAAACTTTTGGAATGTGACCTTCATGTGTCTCTTCAAAGTCAGTATCATGTTGTCAAGTCAAAATTGCAAACAAAACGGCTAATTGAAAGTTAACATTTGACTAATATTTTCTATATTGAAATATTTAGCTAATATTTAAAAATACGTAAAAAATTTGACTAATAATTAGTATTTATCCTTTTTAATTAGGAGTCTACTCACTGGAATGAGTTTAATTATATATTTTCATCTTTACATTAGAGAAGCAGTTAGAATATCGAACAACTCTATAATAAATTATATTTTTATCATACCAAATAACTTAACTTGCTCTAAACAATGACTATTGTTGTTTATGCCATCGACGCAATGTATCTGGCTATCCACCCAATGATAGGTGTTGTATAAAAAAAGTAAAAAAAACATATTCGCCTAACGAGCGAGCCCGAATCTAGTGACTTAATATGGCATTGTCAGTATAGTGGCTGACCAAGGTCATATTCAACGGATCTCGATATCATAGGCTACTTCTCACTCGGTCGTTATCTAGTCGATCAGGTTTAGGTTTGTTTGGAGAACAAATGGAAATAACTGGCTATGAAAGCATAGATAAAATGTAGGTACTCGGGGCATCACCCTCACCCTAGCTATTAGGCCTATCATGCAAAATGATAACTCTGCCGGTTTGTGAAGAACGAAGTGCGGGAATCACTAATGCGAGGACCTGCTCAATGGTCATGCAACTAGCCCCGCTCCTAATCCGATCTGCTGACCCAATGTCACCTCGATCAGGTTCACGAACTAGGGATACAGTCTATTCCCTTTCAATATGTTGCATCTATCTGCACATTGGTTCGTAACGTCAATTGGTCACGCACGTATCTCCCTAGCATTACCTAGGTGGGAATCCCAACTGGTAGGGTATGGTCACCTCATCCACCAATTAGGCCCCTAGATCATTCATCTACACTAACATGCCAAACCACTCAAATCCACAACCATCTCATGCAAACCCTAATTTGGCAATCATAAAATGCATATGGAAGACAAATTCAAGCATAATTAACATAGATAAATGCATATAAATCCTAGATAAACTCATTCCATTTACCAACCCTAACAAATTTTCTTCTACACACTAACACCTAAAAACTAGAGTTTGGGGATTAAACCCCTAGTATCTTTAGTAACTACCCCATAAAGAGGGAAAGAATAAATATAAAAGAATGGGGAAGAAAACTATAAATGGGATGAGAAATCTCTTCCTTCTTGGCTCCTCCTTCTTATTCTCCTTCCTTTAGCTACTCTCTCTAATCTCTCTCTAAAACCAGAAATTTCAGCTCTCTTTGCAAAGGAAAAGATGCCTTCTATTTATAGATTTCAGGAGAACGGACAAGTTCGCGATTGTTGGCTAGGAGATCACGGCTGTGAGTTCGCGATCTTGAAAGGCAGCTCTTTTGCTTTGGCTAGCTCGAGAGTTCGCAGCCTGACTTCATGATCGCGATCCGTAAGTCACGGCTGTGATCCTTCTCGCTGTCTTGGACAGTCGAGGTTGCGAGTCGACTATTGAAACTCCCTATCCATTACTTGGTGGCTGCTTTCTCAAGTTCACAACTGCCATTCCCCAGATCGCGGGTGCGTGCGCGTGCTTTGCTCCTAAGGTCGCGATCTTGTTGCTTGACTTCGCAACTCATCTTCTCGACAGTGATCTACGCCATTTAGTCGCAATCTCTTTGTTTCGCTTCTTTTCCTACACTTGTGACCCCCTTTTATGCTTAAAAAGCAAGTATCATCTAATACACCCCAAAATGACATAAATTACACCGAGGAGCGGATTCGGGATGTATTTGATGAAATACTAACCATTGAACCATGAAATGATCTGAAAATACCTAAAATGTAGAGGCTAAATTACATGTTTTTGGGTTTTATCAAATTTTAAATTTTATTAGATTAAAATAAAGTTTTATTTATCATTAAGTACTCTTAGAGAAATTGGAGGTCCAGGTTAATAGTACCTAAACCACAAAAAGTAAACTTATATCACCCTTATCCAAATAAAAATACTCTTAGAGAAACGTTTGGGTTATATCTCTAGGGGTAAAGTTTCATAGATATACTTATCCTCTCAAAGTTTCACATGACGACATTATCGATGTATAATTGATGAAGAATCCAATTTCTGAAAGAGACAATGACTAAAAAATGTCTGAAATAGTCATCTTGACTCGTAAGCAAAAATGTCATGATAGTTAATACCTTTTTGGTTCAGTTATATGGTTGTTTAGTAAATGACAACCTTGCTTCTCATTAATACTCAATAAGGTTACATCTCCAGTACATTATATAGAGGAAGTTCTAACCCTACACCGCTTCACAACAGTAGCTAACAACGTACGAAACAACACCAATACATGGTTGGACAAAGACTCCATACAGGAGACACGAACACACGCCCTCTCATAACGTAGAGACGATACATGCTACTAAAGGAGGTTAGTGTCGCAAGAGAGGAGATTAAGTCTAAAATCTTCTGGTTAAAGACCACTAATAATACTGCTAGGCCAATCCATTATATGTTATGAAGACTAATTAAGGAATTTAAATATAAAATGAGTTTATCTGTGTACATTAGGGTGGTTATTTGGTTCGGGCTTTTTGATTTTACCTGATACCGGTCGTATAACCCGGACCGAGACTAGATCGGGACCGGATAGCAAACAATACAATCTCATATTTGGACTTAGATTTGAGGTAAAAAACTGTTCGGGATCGGACAGAAAACCGTATAAGAGAGCCAACGTCCAAAACTTAACCAACTTCTCACCGTTTGAGGCACCAGGCCACTCAAATCCCCACAAGCTCAATTTATAATCAAGACTGAATTGGGACTGGATCGGGTCAAGATCGAACCGGATCAAGACTGGATTGTATTCAATCCAATATTTGGTCTTTATATTCGCGAAAAGACCGGACCGGGACTGAATCAATTTGGGCCAATTTCCAGACCGGACCGTATAGCCACCCCTAGTGTACATAGAGTTGCTAAAAGCATCACATCAATGATATTTGGTCAATTGAAAATCTTACATGGTATTCAATATGCAATGCAAATAGAATTGCACCAATTTAGTAGGCACTTGCAAAGGTGCAAGCGGTATAGAAAAATAAAATTATTTATTTATTTCTTCCTTTATATATGTATTTATTATTATTATTAAAATAAATAATCTACCACATAATTGCAAGTGAATTGTATTGATGTGAATACAATGAAATAAATATGAGTTGAATTGAATAAATTGTAAGGTGACAATAAAAAAATATATGCAATTTGCTTACAATTGCATGAATATAAATGCTCCAACAATAAAAAAAATTCCAATGCTTCTCTTAATTGAGAAGGATTTAACCCTCGCACCACATTGTTTCTCTCCTTCATTCTTTAACTGCCCTGTTTTGTTGGATGCTTTGGTGCAGTATTGTCATCAAATGGACTGTTCCTTCTTGTCAGTTCCCTTTCCCCACATCACCAAATGGATCAAGCAGCTCCTTGCTGCTTATTGCAAACCTGAAAACTCCTGAATGCAGATCTAATAGCAAAAAATGCTTGTTTTCCATCCACTGTCCACTTAATTTCACTAGGAAAAATCCTGTTGACACAACACTTTTTATAGCCAGTTACTTATAATTTCTCTAAGTTCTTTTAGTCAAAAGATGCATCAGAACCTTCCACCAGACTACGACTTTCAGACCTTCAAATTCTCACTCTGTCTGCCTTGGATGCCTGTGCGGAAGGGCATCCTATCTACCATAAACGCCAAGAAATCAGCGGATATGACAAGAACATGTGAACAAACCACGAGACTCTCCTACTAGATTAAGAAAGGGCCACCCGCAGCTTTACTATAGTGTGGGTCAATGTTTCTGGATTCAATCATGGCTAAAACATGTTTTGTAGACTATTCTGGTGAGCGAGGGGTGACAAAATTCTCAGTTTGTTTTTACACTGAGAATTGGTGTAATTGTTTTAGTAGAGAAGCAGATCCTGAGAACTGGTGTAATTGATTTAGAACACTTTAAGAACATTGTTAGACAAGAACATCCGTATTTACTAGTGGTTACCATTAAGATTAGGGGAAAATACAGATGGGTCTCTAAGCATTTCAGCATTGGAGCAGAAGTTTGAGCAAAGAAAGAAAGAAAGAAAGAACAGAGGGGTTGGGGATGAATTGATCCAACATTGAATTCAATCCAATTCAATTCAAGGGTACCCTTTTTGCCTTGGGATGCCTATGACTATGAGTGACATTATGCAGCCACCCAAAGCCTTTGAACGCCTTGGAGATCTTCACCAGATTGGGCTTCCCCATCCCACCAAGATTCATCTTCCCAGCAGAGAACTTCAACGCCTGCAAACAGCATAATCTCCCATCACCACCACCCATCTCTTCTTCTTCTTCTTCCTCCCCTGCTACATCATAACAATCATCGTCATTGTCATCATAATGATGGTGTCCAATCTTGTTGCTCGCCCCCTTCTTCTTCACTAGCTTAGACTTGCTCTTTTTCTCCACCTTCAATAAACCTTTACCAGAATTGCCATTATTCCCCGACTCTGTCTCGTATGTCTCCCAAAGCGAATCCATCCCTTCACTGCTGTCAGCATTGTGCCTCTCCTCAAAGAGCTTGCAGGCCAGCGTCCTCCTCCACTCTTTCTCCTTCCTCATCGACCCATAACTCCCCAAGTTTGCCTCTTTAAAACCTCCACTTGTCGCTGTTGTTGCTTTAAGACCCGATTTCTCATTGGGTCCGGCTAATAAGCCTTCCTCCCGTTGCCCCACTTCAACTTTACTCGACTTTACCCTTGGTGGTGGAGCTGCTGCCTTGACTTCTTTTCCCTCCTCATCCTTCTCCTCATGATTCCCTGGCAAAAGCATGTCTCCCAATTCCTCCTGCTTTTGGTGCAAAAGGGTCGCCAAAGTCATGATGCTTCCTTCCCGTGGTGGTTCCAAATCAGAGTTACCCTTCTTCTTCTTCTTCACAGCTTCTTCTTCTGCTGCTGCTGCTCCATCGAGCTGATGATGATGTGGTGCTGTTAATAATTGATCGCCAACATCAAACACAATGTTGTAGACCTGCAGGGCCTCTTTGGCAGAGTAATCGAAATCATGAAGAGATTGGTGGGTGGGAGATAATGGGCGGGAGAGAGTGAAGAGGATGGAGAGGAGGAGAAGGGAAGTGGTGAGGAAGAGTGGGGAGAGGAAAGAGAGGAGCTTGAGCAAGGAAGGGGAGAAGAAGAGGAAATAAGAGAGGTAGAGAGGGTGTGAGATTAGGGTGGAGAGTAAGAGGTGGATGTCTGAGAAGAGGAGAAGGAGTGTTGTTGTGGAGAAGTGGTGGTGGCGTTGTTGTTGTGGAGCTGGCTTGTTGTGAGGTGGTGGTGGTGGCGGCGATGGAGATGGTGTCGTGAGCTCAGTCATAGCTGTTGTGTTTGTTGGAAGTGGGTTGAACGTGGTGGATTGATGTGGAAACAAGGAGGAGTGGTGGCTATACTGAGATTGAAGCAGAGTTTTTTGTGTTGTGGGTTTTGTGAAGAAGGGTGAGAGGGCAATATGAAGTGAGAAAAGAAAAAGGAGGGAGACAAAAGAAAGAGAGCAGGGAAAAGGGAAAGTAAGGCCCACAGTAAATCGGTTCCCTCTGAATTTTCATCATATAGCAAACCAAGTCTACATAAAGAGGGAGCCCCACAGTAAAAACTAGCGATGGAAAACATCCAAATGATATCCGAGCAAATAAAATCTTAGAGACCACGATTAGGTTTAGTGGCGGAAGCAGGCCCTTTAGGCCTTGTTCCGGGACAGGGCTAAATTTCGGAGGAACAAAAATACGTCATATATATTTATATTGGTGATGGAACACGATATATATATAGATAGTATTAGAGTATTTTGTCACTACAACACAATTCATTATTTGTTCAAAAGTTGACATAAAATTAATTTATTATACCCCTACAACCCTGAAATTGTCGTTGTCAATTGTCTAGCGACAACGGGAATTTCACTAGTTTTGATTCTACCAACTAGAACTACAAGTGTAAAATGAGCATTTTCAGCTTTGTGTTATATCAATAACAAGTTTCCAAGTCGATTTGGCAACCACTTTGCTAATGCTTGTTCAGCGAGATACACTGAAAGAGACTTATTTAATAGTGTATACAACGAATATTTTTGCGCTTCTTTCACAATATGAAATCCCTTCGTCGTTGTTCTGAAAACTATGATTGTATAGTCGTTTATTTTTAATCTATAAATGAATTATTTTGTATAATTAATTTTAATTATTTTTTATTAAATAATTCTTAATTAGATACTTATATATTTAAGTTATATAAAGAGGACAGGGGTGGTTTAAAATGCTGTCTCCGCCACTGATTAGGGTTGTGCAATGGATTAGTTCGTATTGAATTACATTGGGTCAAATTGACGTTCAGATTGGATTATATATGACCATATATAATATGATTCAGTTCTGTATTGCATGAATTTTATATATACTGAAGAAATATGGACCGAATCGGCATTTGAATCGAACTAAATCAAACCAAAGTTGGTCAAATATAGTGTTAATCCGATCCTTAATTCTAAAATATTTTTCAATCGGCGGCCCGTCACGACAACGGTCTTTTTGATTGGTACTTTAGTAGACCTGGCAATCGGGTCGGGTTGGGTAATTTTGGATTGGGGACTTCGGTTATAGGTCGGGTCATGTTTGGTTGGCTGATTTCGGGTCACATATTGACCCAACCCATATTTCGGGTTATGAGCGTTCTCGGAAACAATATCAACATGCTTCATATTTTCTTAAAGAACACCAATTTTCACATATGCATGACAATAGTTTATCTAACACATGTCAATTAACATATTCTCAAATACTCTCACGCTAATGAAATGAAATACAAACTGCGCAAATCGTCAAAAAACAATCGCAAGAGTAATACTACTACAAGAAACACATGATATTTGATTATTCCTAAACTCCAAACATGTCATTCAAATACTTGTGATTTTTTTTAAACATCTCACAAATTTATGAGTGATGTTATCATTTTGTGAGTAATATATAAAATGGAACGGGTCTAACGGGTTGACTAGCTAACCCACCCAACCCGACCCAAAAAATCACGGGTTATCGGGTTCGGAAAATTCGAATTTCGGGCTATAAAAAAAATCTACTTTTGGGGCGATTTTGGGTCAGGTCAACGGGTCGAATTGTAATTTGCTAGGTCTATATTTTAGTGGCCCTTTGGTTGGGTATTGGAGCAACATTACCTATTGATAAATCACTAACTTTAGGTCTTTTTCAAATTGATTTTATTTAAAATAAAAAAAATCACATGCAGTGTGTATCTAGAGAATAGTCGCTTCAAAGCAAAGTTTACCTGAATAATATCTATTTAATAAAAAAAATTATCGATCTCGCAAATATATGGAGTGCTATAAAGATTCAAAATTCATTTTCATCTTACAAAAAAAAAAGATGAAGATGAATATAAATGTATTGAATTTAGAATTTTTTCTTTGGCAAATCGATTGTGAAATGCTTTTTTATTTCAAAAATACCCACTATATGTTTTACATCTTCTAGACAAAAAAAATTCAATTTTCATAAGGTCTTCTTGACTATTATTCAAAAGGTCCGATAATATATATATATTATAGATTAAATCGTAGTTCTCTTTAATTTGATCTAGTCCAATCCAACCCTTTGCACACCCTTAGTTAGGGCTGTTAGTCGGTGCGGTTTTGGTTTAACCGAACCGCACCGTCGGTTAGCCGAAACCGAAAATAGGATATATTCCCCAACCGAAGCCGACACCCAAGGGAGGCTCGGTTAACCGCCAACCGCAACCGTCGGTTTCGGTTTGATGGGGCGGTTAGCCGAAATCGCCCAGAGTCGGTTCGGTTTTCGGTTTTCGGTCAGAAACCACCAATAAAACCGATTTCAGTGACCTGCACACATGCTGCCTTTTTTCTAAAAACCTGCTGCTGCCTTTTTTCTAAAAACCTGTTGCTTTATTATCAAATCAGAACAGGGTGATGGCGGGATTCCGGGGCAGAAGACGGAAGCGTCGGCAGGAAGCAGGGAGGATGAACACGGCGCCGACGTTTGTGAGAAGGAGGATGAACACGGCGCCGACGTTTTTTACTGGAGAGGACGGCGCCGAGCTCGTGGGCAGGAGGACGGTGGTGCAACGAGCTCGCTACGACAAGTTCTGGGAGGGAGTTCGGCGACGACGAGTTCTGATGGAGGACAACGGCGACGCGAAGGCTGGGAGCGGGAGGGTTGCGATGCGACGAAGGCTGGGAGCGGGAGGACGGCACTGCGACGAGCTCGACGAGGACGAGGCGACTGGCGGCGAGGGTAGGGACTAGGGTTCAGAAATGGGGAGGAGCGGCAGGTGAGACTCTGATGTCTCCTTCGATTTGCGATTTCGTCATTTCGGTCAGGGGAGGAGGGGACTGGGGAGAGGCCGAGAAGAGAAGTCACTCATTTGGCCTGGTATCCGCCCAAACGACGCTGTTTAAGTGACTGGGTCGGTTTTGCGGTTTATTTGTACGGTTGCGGTTTTTAACCGCTAACCGCTACAATTGCTTCATGGTCGGTGACAGGCAACTGCAACCGCAAGCCACTCTCGGTTTTTCGGTTGGCCATTAAACTGACGGTTTCGATTCGGTTTCACGGTTAACCGAAAAACCGGAGACCGATTAACAGCCCTACCCTTAGTGACGCCTGAATGAGGAATGGTAGAGGCCGCCAGGCAGGCCTACCTCTGCCTCCACTTCAATTATTATTAGCGGAAGAAAGGAAGAAATAGTTGTCGTGAGCTCAGCACGGCGTTAACACTCCACTTGCATTGCATGCATTATTTGTTTATCATCATCATCATCATAATAATACTATATATGCCATAATAATGCAATACGGGCCAGCAGGCCATATGTATTATCCCATTTGTCGCAATTGATTTTTGCCCACCAGCAGCCAAACTACACAACACGATCTTCCCCATGACCTCGCCACATTTAACTATTTTATGAAATTCGTTTGCTAGGTCGAGGACCAAGCAAGCAAGGAGGCATATATAGTTACACAACAAGATAACCACCCTCCACATGGCTTGGCTTCTTCTCAATCTCAACTATCCCAACTCCCAACATATATCATTTCTCATACCGCCACTACCATGCTCATCAACCAAACAATAACTCCCGTGTGTCTTCTTCATTCAATGTTACTTAAAAATGCATAGGCATTTTCAATAGGTTTCAAAACGACAAGTCTAAGTAGCTCAATTCACCCGAAACACGCAGCAAAATCGCTATCGAAATTGCATGCTAAATAACCCGAATTTAACTGTGCACCCTGATTACTGAACTTTACCCACATAAGTAGTAAAGTAGGTCATTGAACTTGAGGATTCCTAAAGAGAGCATCAAAGAACAAGCGGAGGTTGGGAGGGGGACTATCAATCAATCAAAAAGTGGAAGATGTTGGGGAGGTGATTGAATTGCAAAGCACATGGTGAAGCTACTCATGGCTACTCAATTACTTGCCTCCCTTTTTTGGGAGAGGTTAGATAGAGATTAGAGACCCCAGGCTTTTCTCTCCCCCTTTTCCATGGAGACTTCTTCCAATTCCAAAGGAAACCTGCTTTTTACATGGTTGACTATTTAGATGTCACCACCACTCAATTGCATTATAAGTAGGGGTGTTCAAAAGGTGTGGTTACCATGGTAATCGTTTTAACCAGTACTATTTGAATAATTTGGTTTGGTTAATTTGGATAATTGATTTGGTTTGGTTAAAGTTTTTACCTTGTTTGGTTTAGGTGATTTGGTTTGGTTTCAGACACTCCTAACCAGCCAAACCAAATTAACCAGATAAATAATTAGCCATATACCTAATATATGCACATACTTAATACTTTGAATAACCACTCAAGAGTTAAACGTTCATTCTTTTAGACTCATAAAATATAAAGCTTGATATTGTTCCTATAATGTATATTTGTATATGTAGAGTGTAGACCACAACATATGAACGCCTAATTTAGATAAATCTCATACATTATGTTGGATGAAAACTTGAAAGCAAAGTACTTTTCAGCCTATGAAATTGCTAAAAGACTAAGTCAATTCAAACAAACACAACAATTCATTAATCCATACCAATGTGATAAATTTTTGTTAGGTGAATACCCTTATACTAACCGTAAGATAATTGTCTTAGTTGCATGTATTTATGTTAAGGGTCAACTATAACTATGTATTGATTATTATGTTTTATTCATTATATAAATTGTGAATTGTTAAATTAACCGAAATTTTTCTCACTTAATGATAATATGATTTTATATTGGTTAATCTGGTTAACCAATTAACCAAACCGATTAAACTTTAGTTTGGTTAATTTGGTTGTTGTATTAGTTTGGACGGTTTGGTTATGATATTGTATTCCATGGTTAATAAAATTTAGCTTTATTTGGTTTGGTAATAACCATGGTAACCATTTGAACACCCCTAATTATAAGTTATAGTAGCCACCTTCCCTTACTTGCCATTTCCTTCTTGTCAGACACCAAGGGTTGTTAATGATCCGAGTCGAGCCGAATTTTGTCATAGTTCGGGTTTGGCTAGTTTAAATATTTTCAAACTCGAGCTCGTCTCGAATTCGTCACGTACTGTAATATGCAAGCTCGAGTTGCTGCTCATTTATGAAAATGAAAGTTCGAGCTTGACTCGAGCTCGGCTCGCCAAATGAATTTAATGAGTCCAAACTCGAGTTCAACTTATAAAATGTTTGTGATAGTTTAAGATTGAGTTAGAACTGAGCACAAAATTACATTCAAACCTGTAGCAAAGTCTAGCAAAATAAATAAATAAAAACAATATTTATCCTAATTTCAATGCCTGAAGTCTATGAATTCCAATAATTTCTTATGTCAAACGGTTAAATTAGCTTGTTCGCGAGCTTTCGAGCTGAACATGGTATGGCTAGAATTCGGCTCGTTTAGTTAACGAGCTTGTTCGCAAGCCGACTCGATTCAAACGAGTCAAGTGTCGAACGAGTTTTTCTCGAATCGGACGCCGAATCGTTCATTAGCGGCTTGGTTCATTAACAGCCCTACCAAACACACATCTAACTTCATATATTGTTCATACACCCACAGCTGTGGTCAGGGGCGGACCCAGGGTGGTTTAGGGGTGTCCCCGGACACCCCTAAATTTTGAGAAAACGATTATCCAACCCCCGGTGGTAATTTGTGTATGGACAAAAAAAATATAATTGATAGTGAGGGACACCCCTTAAATTTGAAAAAATGATTATCCTACTGTCATTTGTGTATAGGAATATAAGTGGTAGGTTGGATAATTCAAATCTAGAATACTATTATTATTAATAAACTTAATTTCCGTTGAGCTAAACTCATTTGTTGTTCGATTTTGAATAATGTGTAATAGTAAAATGGCATTCCCTATCTCTAATTATTTTAAAAACCTAACAATTAAACTAATTTCAAACTACCCTTAATTTGTATTGATTTTATGATTGTACGGCAAGTGTTGAAAGAGTCTTTCAACTTTAGGTTATATCAAGAACAAGTTTACAAATCGAATATGCGATAAGTTCGTGAATGATTGTCTAGTAGTGTATCTAGAGACAATTTTTTTAACACTATAAACACCAAGTGTATTCTACAATTAATTTCGAATATGAAAACACATCATGGATTTTTTAACCTGTACGAGTAAGGTATTTTCATATTTACAATTTTATTTTTATTAATTATTTTTATTTATTTAATTTTTTAAAAGAGGACACCCCTATGAAAAATTTCTGGGTCCGCCACTGGCTATGGTCTACCAAACTACAATCCACGGGCGTCAAAACAAAGTTCCATGGTAAAGACAACATAAAACCATGGGGTCATTTGGATGCAGGTTTTGGGTGTAGGATTTGGGCACAATCCCACATAGTGTTAAAATCACTCATTTGGAAAGCAATTATATGATAAGAGATTTTAAATATTAGAGATTTCAAAAAGTCACAATTGTGGGATTGTAAAATAGCTGATGGTCATCAGCTATTTTAAAATTCCACACAAATCCCACAAATTAAAAACCTGCATCCAAATGAACCCATGAATCAAAAGTTTGATGAAGCTACTCATCCATCGTCCATTGATTGGCCTTGTGCGAAATGGCATTATGGATTTTGCATAATCATCAACAACACAAAGAAAGAAAAGGGCCCCGCCTACCGAATGATTTACCCTTTAGCTTCAAAAGAAAGCTCGACTTTAGCCGTGACCAACGGAGAGCAAGATGCCGACTCTTCTCTCACCCACCCTACTTCATTTATTAAAGCTCATTTTCTTGTTTTTTTTTTTTTTTTTTTTTTTTTATAGATCATTTTCTTGATTCTTAATAACAAAGAAAAAGGGAGATTGTTGTTCCCTGAGTTTGGCTAATACGGACCACTGTCGCAGCAAAACTCTTCATCAACACATGGCTGCTATCATGGAGAACCAGATCCTTGGGACGTCGACCGGATTATCCAACCGATCTCAATCGGAAGCTAATCGACGATCTCATCGTATCCTCGTCTTTCGTCTGCACCAACCACCGACGACTATGGTGGTTTCTTCCAATGTCTCCCCATCTCTGTCCCCATCTTCATCCAAATTTTCTCCTGTAAAAATCTGTAATCTCAACTACCTATTTGCTCCCTCGTATGCTTGGAAGATTGATTTGTTGGTCAATCCCTTCAGGAAGTGGAAATCAGCCATAGATATAGTAGAAGCAAGCAGCAAGGACGCGTCTCTTTGATAAGATCACAATCAATATCATACCATTCCTCAAAAGCGACATGCTCATTCATAACAAACTCCAAAGTAATCATACAGACATTTGCTTTAAATTCACAGACTGAAAGAGGTTCTTCGAGAACGAAATGCATCACATATTGAAGGCCATTATAACGACACAAGAACAGCCATCGGTGCTATCATAAGGACTTTCGTTCTTGTTCGCATAAGGTCTTACTCTGTCATAACTGGCTTATTCTCATTAGCTTTGAACCTTTGCTCCTTGGGCTTCTGCTCCTCCATTTTCCTGGAAAACACAGTAGACAAATTTGTTCAGATCGAAAAGAACTACATAGCACCACCGAAGAACTTGACGAACTATGAATTCAAACACTCACATCGCAACTGGGAAATTAGAAAGCAAAAAGGCACAGAGCAAGAGCACTACAATTTCTCACATAAGGCAGATTAACTGATTGAAGTATCACTGAGGATGCAGATCATTGGCATAGGAAAACAAAAAAAGTTTCGAGGAGAGGTATTAGCACAACAGAGGCAAGAGAACTGGATAAACAGAAACACCATTGTCACAAACCATAAACTTGAAAAAATGAGGAAACTACCAGCAAAATCAAACTTGGCTCAACAAACAACAAGAATCCCCCCAATCATAAGCACACTAGCCAAGAGAAATCGAAACTTGTTCCCGAGAATGAGCATTGCAACACATTCACGTTCCAAGTCCGAAAACCCTCGGTCATAATCAAGTTCCCGGGGCCATTCCAGCCAATATTCCTCTGCGCTATCAACATATATAGTAGGCCCCCATCAAATCCCTAAAGTCTATAGCTAAAATTTAAACAGGAGCATCTCGAAAGGCCAATCAATCATATCCAAGCACAAGCATGATTCCAGATGCTTCAACGACGCATATTTTACATAGCCGATTAAGAAATAGAAGTAAAATCGCAAAACCGCCCAACAAAATTTTTTTCCGGGTAGAACCCTAAACATTCTTTAGGGAAATGGATATGGGAAAAAGAATACCTCTTGTCCGAAGTGCCGCCCTTCTGGCTGAGGAAAGAGCGGAAGAGAGGAGAGTTGACGTCGTAGATCATGGTAAGCGACTCGCTGAACGGAAGAAACTCCTACAATTATAAACCCTAGTTTCTTTCTGAAAACGATTCGTCGCTCTACGCTCCTTCTTGCAGACTCCTTTCCGGTATGCGACCACGGCGGAACTGGATGGGTATTTATGAGGACACGGAAGAACTTAGGCTGGCCCGTAAACCGCGGCCGAATCATCCAACTGACGAGGTCGGGCCTTATCCATAACCAGAGCTCTGGCCCAATCTCGTCCACAATCCGTAAATTTTTAATTGTTTTGGGCCTTGTTCAACTATATCTAGCTCCTGGCCTAATATTTGTCGAGATAGTTTTATAAGGTATAGCTAGGGGTGAGCAATGAGTGGTTTTATGCGGATTTGGGTAGATTTGGACTCACCCACTAGGTAGTGGTTGAAGGAAAAAATTACTCGCACCCACCAAAATATTACGTGTGAGTGGGTTGGATGATTGCGGATGATGGGTGGTTGGGTGGATTCGGTGGGTTTACTACATATATTTCATATGATCACATAATTTTAATAGTTTTAAACTCAAAATGATAGAATTTTTCAAACTAAATAACGCTTAATCCATAACTCAGGTGAATCATTTATTTTAGGGTTAATACCACTAGGAAACCCCAACTATTAATAATGTGTCATTTGTGTCCTAAAGTATCTAATATGACATTTGTGTCCCAACATATTATAGTTTTGAGTCATTTATGTCCCAACCTATTATAGTTTTGTGTCATTTATGTCCTAACCCGAACTATTAAGAATGTGGCATTTGTTAAATACTAACGGTCAACACCGGTCAACTCTAACGGAAAAATAGTTTAGGACACAAATGTCATATTAGATACTTTAGGACACATATGACACATTCTTACTAGTTCGAGTTTCCTAGTGGTATTATCCCCAGTGAATTACAGCTCTTCCACCATACCAACACACGAATACTCCACCTTCTCTCTAGCTTTCCATCATCTTCTTCACAGGGCTGCCGCCGACACCACTCTGGTGACCGGCGGTGGCCCAATTTCTCTCTTTTTTCTTCCTTTCTCTTGCTCGCCGGATTTCCTTTGTGGTTTCCTTGCTCTCCGATCAGTGCTGGCTTTTCCTGTTTCCTTTACCCTTCTCGGTTTTTGCAGATCTATTCTGATTTTCCAGCCCTCGATGGCTCTTCCAGCCCTTGGTGGCTTTATCTCGGTTCCTAAGTGGTTCCTCCCACATTCCTCCCTGGTGGAGATGTTGTGTCTTGTTCAGATCTAGTTTTCTAGATCTGTTCCTCTGTTTTGTGTACGGAAGATGCAATTTGGGGGTGCTTCTGCTGGTTCGGTTTGAAGATTTCCTCCTTCTTGGTGTGGTCGTTCCCGTGGGCGATCACGTTCACTGTTGCGCCTCTGCTGTTGTGCTCCTTGCTTGATCTCTGCATCTTTGCCAATCGTCAGTGTGGGTGGCGGTGTCTCTTCCGATTGTCGTGGCGGATGGTCCATGTTTCTATGAGATCAGAGTTCTTCTTTTGGGTTGATTTGCAGTGTGGTGTGGGTTGTTGTTGATGGATTGGGTTGTGCTGCTTGTTGGTGTTCCTGTTCTTGGAACTCTTTTTGGCTTTGTGTTTCTGCAGGTGAGGCTCATGCTGGTGGGTCTTCTTTCTTGTGGTTTTTGTGGGCATTTCAACCCTTTGTGTTCCCTGCTCTCTGGTTTGTCATGGATGCTTCCGCTGCCGGCTCCCTCTCCTTGTTTCAGCTCTGAACAATCCTGTATAGTGCTGCCCACCGCCATGTAATCTCCTCGGTGATTCACTGTGATGGGTCGTCTTCGAACAACTCCCAGGAGGCGGCATATGGTGTTGCAATGTTCAATCATCATGGTCATTGCTGTATTGGATGAGCTGAAGCTTTCCTTTGAGTTTTTCTGATAAATGAGGTTGCAAAGAGTGATTCAGATGCTTTGGTTTGCGGTTCAAGAATAGAATGCCCTTGTCTAGTTGGATCATGCTTGGCTTTCTCTTGTTCTGATCTTCCCCTCGTTGGTTTGTGTGTTCCTCTAGATGTTGAGGTTGTTCTTTCTTGATTTGTTTTCTCATGTTGTATCCCCTCTTTGTAACCGATTTTATTAGTTGAGCAATATAAGTGATCCCTTTGTCCAAAAAAAAAAAAATAGTGATATTATCCCTTTATTTTACAATATTGGTATTGGTAATTATCCAAAAATTATACAATATTCAACTAATAAACATGGTTTAATCCTAATAATAACGAAGGAAATAGAACACACTAGGCATAAGGCAAATATTTTGGTCTTGCCTAGCGCATCATTCACCTAGGCATTGTGAGCGTAAATAGCTTTTTAACCTATAGTCCTAAATTAAAATTCCAAATTGATGGAAGGTATGAATGACGAATCGGTGGTAGTTTGAGAAGATGTCATTTTGGGGAAGACAAGGTTTGGCCAAGTGATTCGTGTGTTCGAATCTTTAGAACCCTTAGTATTAATAGTTGATTAAAGCACACGGTATGGTGGGTCTGTGCAAACTTCAAGCCCATGTGTTGACTTTCGTTTGAGGGAGTGTGTTATTGAGTGTTATTGGGATCAATTAGTTCATGACATACCCAACCCACTAAAAACAAATTTTCTTTTTAAGTTTTCTCTGCACTTGCATTATTTTCTACAGACTACAGCTGAATAAGTCATTTTTCTTTCTTTTGGATGATTGTTTAACGAGGCCTTAAGCTCCTGGGCTAATGATCAGGAGTGCTCTACTGAAAGCAACATAAAACTGTCTGTTGGCAGCCAGAGCAACTAGTCTAAAAGAGTGCTAAAACGTGTAGTGTAGCAGAAAGGGAAAGGGAAAGGGTACTGTCAACTAGGCAGAAGAAACCCCAGGCTCATATTTTAGGTTTTCCAAGGTGGAAACTTGAGAATGATGGATCTCACCATGAAAATGAGTCGAGGTTTGGCTTTCAGATTCAGTTTGGGATTCCTGATCATAAGCTATTCTTGATTGTGATGATGTTTGGTAAATAACGTCCGAAGTTGTGTTCCCATTAACATTTCATGTCTCCAATATTATGCAAAGTCTTGCTGCTAACACTTAACAGCATTTGCAGCATTAGTCGCAGTCTGAACTTTCCATGCCGCTACAGAACCTTATTCTGTGATACGACAGGAAGATCCTGAACTCTTTTTCCTTAATCACCGATTTAATTCGCAACCAGCATACAACAAAGAAGATTGGAGATTTACTGCAGGAACCAACAACAAAAACCAATAGGCTATAGCCGTAACACAAATAATTTGGGAAGTCGTTTTTGCTTCACAAACTCACAAATACTGGAAACACCAGGAGCAGAAAATGTTTTAAGGACATCAAAAGCTCAAACAAACATCAAACAGATCACTACTTACTCTCATCAACTACAGCTCTTCAAAACCCCAATTCCGCCTGAATTAAACTGCTGGCAACGACAAAGGAATCCATCATCTCATTACTACATCGACTCCAGTACGCTGATGTGATCATCCAGCTGATCAATAGGATCCCCAAGCAGGCATACCGGATGCCATCCCAGCAATAGCAGCTGCAGCAGCAGCAGGGGGAGCTTCTGCAACTGGCTCAAACCACCCAAGATCGTCCATAACCTTCTTGAACAGGTTACCTGCCGCGAAAGAAACCCCCGACACCATGAAGCCAACTGTGAGATAGAACAGCACCGTCTTGAAGTAGGTCTTGGGCGGCTTCTGCACATGAGCCTTCCCAAAGGCAAGCAGTACCACACACACGATAGATGCTGCGGCCGCTGCTGCGATCTTGTAGTCTCTGTTGTCGCTCTCCTTGAACGAGAAGCCATAGACGACTGGAGGGACAAGGCCGAAAACCAGGAATGACAGCACTGCAAAGAAAGCATGGCGCTTGAAGTTACTTCTCTGCCCGAGGAGGTCACAGTATCGATCCACTTCTGCTTCCTCCTGTGTCTCGGAGGAGACAATGAACCTCCTTGGCTGCTCGCATTTAAGGTCGCTTATCTGTCGTTCAAATGCTCTTCGTGTTAGAAGTTGGCATATTATTAAGAATCGAAGGACAAAATGCTGCTGCGCTTACATTGGTTGCAAGGAGGGACAGTCCACCAATGAGGTTGGCTATTCCAATGGCCATGATCTTCACTGAAATCATTTGAAAGAACAACCTTGTCAAAAAATAAGTTGATGCATTGCTTCTGAGAACAAGGACTCTCCAAGTAATGAGGCTACCACAACTTACATGTACCAGTATCAGCACTAGCAGCAGAAGTGACAATGCTGAGACTTGTGATTAACTCAGCCAAACCACCATATACAATGCTCTTCAGGATGTCCCATTGCCTACCACTAGCAACTCTTCCTGGTAGTGGGATCGTGGACGGCTCGACTGAAACAACAACATCTGGTCTCGAAGGAACTGGTGCTGGTGCCTCATCTGTCCCAACAAGAAGTGGTTGGTAAACAAAATTTTAGATACCGGTGCGGGCTGCATCAAGGTGATATATAGAACGAGGAAAAAACAGTACCTGTGGTTGAGACAGGAAGTTTAGTTTCAGGACCCTGCGCATCTAGAAGTCCAGTTGCAATTCCATTGTCCATGTTCCCTACCTGTTGGGCTCCAATTACCGGTAGTTTGTTGAAGAAAATACCAAGAATGCCTTTCCTTCCTCCTGCACACATGAAAAGAAATTGGCGATCAAGATCAACTATGTGGATGGGCATTCAATTCAATGAACCGGAGAGTGAGGGGGTCGGTTAACCTTTGTTCTTGTCATCGATCGTCACATTGACGGAAGCATTACCATCATCAACAATCACATTAACCTTTCCAGAGTCTTCTTGTTCAGGCTGACTCGGAGGCGGCACTTTGTTTCTCCAGTCTCCCCAACCACCAGCAGGGAACCCAATAGTTGGTGGGTCTCTACTTGTTACTGAAACATGCCCGCCATCCTCTTTCTGCCCGGCTCCTTCTGTGGAGGCTGGCTGCGTTTCAGGTTTTGATCCACTTTGTGGAGCTTCACCCTGCTCACTTACTGGTGCTGCAGTTGGCAGAGCAGCAGATGAGACTTTGCCTTGATCAACAACAACTTCTCCAGCCGAGGGAGCATTTGTTGCGGCTGAAGGAGCGCTTGGTGTTCCTTGGGGAACATGGACATCAACTGCAATCAGAACAACTTGGTAAGAACAATTGAATAACATGCAAGAAAGAATTCCATCCAACCAAAGAAACCATCTAGAAGAGTACCTTGATCAGTTATTTCCTCATAATCATCATCCTGTCCTCTAGTGCCAAAGATCCAGTTGCCTGTATGAAACAACATAACAGAAGAATCATATCAACATGTCAAAGACTATTAATTGTGTACCCAAAAGAAAAGGAAAATAAGGAACTGGCAAGGAAAAGATGAACCACTTAGTGTAATCATTTATTACCTACGGGAATGAGGAAACTGAAGCAGGATGTGCATCGGAAGGTATTATGAACAGGTGGTGGAGGGGGAGTTGCAGGCTGCCTAGCATCATTATCAGCTCCTTGAAGAATGACCTTCTTGATGCAAGCTTGGCAGTTAGGACAGAAGAATTCTTGGGTGGCATGCTTCTGGTAAACATTCTCCAGTATCACTTCTGTCACTTCATTCTTCGTTTCTCCGATGATGACGCTGCTGCTTCCATTCTCAACCACAGAAGATGTAGCTGAAGATGAAGATGAAGAAGAAGAAGAAGAAGAAGCAGTAACACCCTCGCTCTTCTCCACCAATAGGGTCTTCGATATGAACACTGTTCCGGATTCTCCACTTGTGTCCTTAGCCTCAGACAAACCGTAATTTGCAATAGGGAAGTTGCCTGTGGAATTAGATTCCAGAGGACAGGAATGAAAAGGATTAAACTTGTGCAAAAGAGGAACTGCAGATCAAACACTGGAGAAAAGCAATAGGATAGCAATCCCATGGACAATGATTGCTTTGAAGTGTGAAGACATGATAATGATCATGATGCTAATTTCTTAACCCAATATTATATTCATTGTTAAGAAGATATAGATAAGATCTACACATACGGATTGGTGGGATAGACCCTTGCAAGAAAACAAAACAGAACAACAGAGTGCCCAAAGTGGGAACAAAAAAGAGGAAGCTGGGGCCAAATATCATTGGTTGCTTGTTATGGAATACAATTAATGCTGAAATCTTTCACGTTCCACTCATCCCAGGTTTCAGTTTTGCTGATTTCTTAAGAATGGACCCATTGAAAAGGCCAAAAACAGTGAAGACCAATCGTGGGTTGTGGGTTCCAGATTTAGACACCACGACTCCACAATCCAAAAGGCAAAAGCACAGTCTAAGCAAACTAAATGGTTTCATCCATCCATCCAATCACAGCTGAGCTCTATGAAGATGTTGTCAACTAGAAAAGAAAGAAGAGAAGAAAAGGTGGAGACTTGGTGGAATAGTGAGAGAAAGTGACCCCCAGTGACTGAAAGTTGAGGAAGGTCATTTACATGTCAAAGCCACAGGAGATCGATCAAAAGTAAGAAGGAAATACCTCCTGCTATTTGTGCTTGTTCCTCTGCTAGTGGTACAGTGGAAGAGAGAGTTTCCTGCAAGCTGCCATGGCCATTAGTGCCGTTGGAAGCGCCCATGACTGCTGCTTCTGCATAGGTTGCGGGTGTTTTGTGGTTCTGATTCTGCCTTCCTATCAAGGGCTCCTCTTCTTCCTCTTCCTCAACTCGCCATTCCTGCTGCTCTGCCACTGCAGCCGCCATTAGGGAAGACTTGAGAAGGAAAGGAGGAGGCTTTTTGGTTTTTTTTAGCAACTCGAGACTAAAAATAGGAGGGGCTCAAACGCTCCCCAAGGCTAAGCTGTGAGCTGCAGTGGCTGGGGTTTGGATTGGGAAATCATCTCCATTAACTTCCCCCAGCTATATAGGAGTGGCCTTCAATGCCACTCTAACAACATCCCCAAAGAAAGAAAGAGAAGAAGAAAATATTAATTAAAGACCCTTATCACTTCGCTATCACAACCCTCTAATTACTAATTAATAATCATAATCTAATGGAGACTTAGAGAGAGAGAGACCAGGTCGTAGGTGGAAGTTGGGTGGATCGGGATGAGCTCCATTTAATACTGTGAAGGAGAAGATTTGACTTCACCATTTATGTGCTGTGCTGTGCGAGCTGTTTCCAGAAGACACAAAAAAAGCAAACAAAACCAGGATTAAGAAGATGTTTGGGTTCTGTTTGTTTTCAATTTGCTTGTTTCTGCCTCCTTTGTTCTTGAGGGAATGGGAAACCGGAGAGAGAGGTGGACCAGCCTGCCTCAGCCTAACCGTGGGATTTGGGAATGGAAACAAAGAACAACTCTCACCTTGGCCCTAACAAAACCAACCATAGAAACAATTTCGCACGTTGTTCTTACCGTGGATAGGGATGGCAATGGGTCGGGTTGGGTCGGGTTTTGCCAAATCCAAACCCGTGGGTTTATCCGTGAAAAAAATCCGGGGTAAAATCCATTGGGTTTGAAAAACTCAAACCCAACCCGCTGGGTATCCGCGGGTTCATGGGTACCCACGGGTTTTTGTCGTAAAAAATTTACTATAACAAGTTCCTATGAAAATTAAAGTCAAATATCAATCTCTCAATACAAATTATCCATATATAAAACACCATTCTAGAAAATACAAGCAAATCACAAATTAGCTATACAAATTGTTCAACACCAATCTAGAAAACTCAAGAAAATTGAAGCAAATCACAAATTATCCATAAATAACATGATTAATTGAAAGCTTCTTCCTTTCAATTAAGTTTCTTTGTTATCCACTCGATAACATCAACTTCATTCTACACCATTAAAAAGAAAAAATTAGACATGTCTCCACAAACATAAATAAGATTAGTTGTTTAGAATATTAAATATACCAAGAAAATTATTATATGGGTGTGGGCGGGTACCCATGGGTCGGGTTTACCTAAACCCAAACCCAACCCGGTGAATAGTGAACGGGTGTAAACCCAAACCCGGCCCAAAACCCGTCAACACGGATTTTACCCGCGTTGACCGGGTTGGGTCGGGTGGGTACCCATGGGTTCGGGTTTTGTTGCCATGCCTAACCGTGGATGGTTCTATGATTCTATCTCACAAACCCCTATCTTTTTTTTTTTTCTGGTAATTGTAGTTGATTTTAATTAGGTGTCGCTTTTGTTGCCAGTGATTTTAATTCACTATGAGGTTAGGGTTGGTGCACCTGTTTTTTCCTTGATCGCTTTAGGTACAAGCGATCGTACTAAATCATTTTACTCGAGCACGATCATTATTCGACACGAGGATAGGGTTAGGTGCAGCGGCCTAGGCATGATCGCTTTAGTCAAAAGCGATCGTGTATTGATCGTTTTGCCCTAAAGCGATGAAGATTCAATCTGATTCCAAATAAAATCACGACCCTCCTATCCTATTTCACTCTCATTTCCCCTCTTCTCCACCTTCGTAGCAGAAATTTCCCTCTTCCCCGCCACACTTGTAGGAAAATCTCACGACCACGCTAGAACTTCATTCCCTCATTATGAATAAGGTGTATCTAAATTTGTTTATTATGGTCATGTTTAAGTAGTTATGTGTTTATGCTTCACTAATTAGGCTTAGTATGAATTATGCTAACTATTCGAATTAAAGCTGAATGTATGATGGATTATGGTTTTGGACGTTGTATGTGATTGGTAGTTATTTTAAATCACAGATATGTGTAAATTTTGGAAGTATAGACTTCTTATTCAGTGGAATGGTCGAGTACAAACTCCCACAAAGGGATCGGTTATGAAGATGGTGAAAATTGAGACTAGATTTACGTGGCAAGAACTCTATGACATTTGTGCAGACCAAATTTGTATGGGGTACATATAAGAGTTTGTACAATTACTTACCAATATCCAAACGTCGTTGGAGGCGATGTCATGTACGAAGAAGTTGTCATACCTAACAATGATAGGGTTAATATGATGTAGGACTTCCTAGCTGAATATAAGATCAGGATTGTAGACATGTATGTTGAGATCGAGGATGTCAGTCGTGGTGGAACCAGTTACGAATAGGATGGCATTGAATCCTCTTATCACCACCATTTTTATGGTGATGGTGTTGCACGAGGGTATGAATGGGGTGGTTATTCAAGCAACTATGAAGAAGGTAGTTATGTAGGCGCGATGTTGTAGATGGGGTGCCATGCGAAGATGCTCCTTGCCGTGTTAATTTTGTTGAGCCTGCCCCATTTGTTGAGTCACTTGGTGTTCAATTTCTGACTTGGGGTCCAAAATGGATTGACATTGAAAATACCATTCGAGAATCCATGTGATCTCCACATAATCAAGATGATGATGTTGGCGATGATGGAAATAAAGCATTCAGCAGTGTACATGCATATGGACGGCTGCAGAATAGATAGTCTATGCTTTCTAATGTAGTCTAACATAACAAGCATACATCTGACTTTACCTAACGGGAGTGGTTCCTTTGACAATCCCAAGGGGTTGTCATTTTTTTTCCAACCCTTCTGCACCAAGGATATATTTGATAGTGAGACTTTTTTGTATTATTGCACCATGGGAATTATAAAGTCATATCAATTACAATTTCTAAAAAAATAACACATTAATTACATTTCTTACTCCCTATCTCTCACTCTCCCTTTTCCAGCAGCCTCTTTGCCTTTCGCCGACTAAATTCTTCTGAAGATATTCCTCCAATAGACTCCCTTCGACCACCTGGCAAAATAAGTATCACCGCATTAAAAAAGGTATCACTCTGAAAAAGTACCATTGTTGCACTAAAAAAATATACCACTAAACTAAAATAATTTCGACAATGAAAAATAGTACCATTATTGAATAAAAAAGTACTACTTAGAAACTAGCAGGAGAATGGCGAGAGAGGACAATGACCTAGCAGGAGGAGGCAACTTCGTTCAACACAGGCGCCATAGGCAAACGACCTTGCTGGTTGCAATGGGTAAATAACTCTTGGCTTTCCCCTAGATGGAGAAATAAAAGAGATGTAGCCTTATTGTGTGTGGCTCTACATCAGGATGATGTGCAGAATTGCATATATCCATAAATTCCTTGATATGTTTGACCGAATTGTCACTATCACGACCCTCAAAGAGTCCAACATTATGGACCATAGGGATTGTTGAATTCCTTAGCTCGAAGTCAGGCACAATAATAGGAGGAGGGACGAGGCTCGAAACTATGTCCACAGCTTGAGCCTTTGTGTACTCATTGAGAGTTTGTTCAACGATGCCTTTTGGAGTTGAAGGATCGTAAAGAAGTTTATTCTTGCATGCTCCTAAAATTTAGCCAAAGAGTGGGTTAAGGTAGAGGGCAGTAAGTTGTTGCTCTTAGAACCTCTCTTCTTACGCAGGGGTGATGACTTGGATTTAGAATAATCAAAAGTACCACTCATATACACAAGACCTTGGGCAAGCCTATTAAGTTTGAGCTTGGTTGTCTTGCCTCTAGTTCGTGTTAGGCTTGTGCAAAGAAGGCAAGGCAGAATCTGTACGTGATAGACTCCTTCCCAACTCAGCGCCCTGGCCACTTGTTTATGCCAATAAATGATGTTGACGCCCCGGAATTGATGGCTCTAGTTTCACGCCCAAACGATGATCCACACACAGAGACTATAGAAAATGAGAAATAAAATACTAAAAGCAAAATGGAAAAAAAAATGTAAATGAAATAGAAAAATTGAATGGGGGTCAGAATTGGTGCTAGGGTCACCAAAATAAGAAGGAATTAAAATAGCGCACATATTGTTGATTCTTCCCCTCCTAAGTTTGAATCTGAATTCAAACTTTCACACATAGACTAAAAAAAAGAAACATAAATTAGTTACGGATAGAATAAAATTACAAACAAAAATGAAAAAGAACAAAATAAACGACAGAACTCTTACCTCGTTCCCTTTATTATGGTTTCAAGAATCTCTGACAATGATGCCAAAAATTGATCACGTTGTAGTGTATGTCAAGTTTACTTTGTCGGAAGACCAAGATCGTATTTCCCTAGGGTCTCTCATAGTCACTTACTTAGGTGGTGAGGGACGAGCTATGGTGGTTTTAAAATAGATGTGGAGATTGAGGTGCCTCCGAGGTTGAATTTCCCCTTTGTATTTCAAAACTGGGAAAAAAAATTGCGGGGAAAGAAAATCTAAGCTAAGGGAGAGTGGAGGAAGCATGAGGACGTGGCGTTGCATAGGAAAGCTACTCGTAGATTTTCTTACTCTCAACCTCAATCTAAGAAACAGATGAACTATTTGATCTTTGTTAGGTTTATTCATACAATACGTTGTGGCAAATGCCAGGTCTAGTAGGCAACAATATTAGGACCTTATGAATGTCTCATTTGAAGAAGTCGATGGAGTTTGATCGATTGATGGTCGATCGTGAGTGACTTATGTATGCAGTCTCATACACTCACAAAGTCAAGTATGAGAATATAATATTTGAAGTTAATCCTCGTATTACACACACAATAGCATCAACAATAGGCCAAAAGAAATAAGAAAAAAAGAAATATAAAGAAATCAAATCATATATATGTCAAAACAAAAGGTTAAATAGTGAAGAACCTTTAGGGTTTGCCAACCTATGCAACTAAGAGAACTAGCCGATCAAGAGGACGAGTTTTTGGGAGAACATAAGTAGAAAAGTGATCCCCACAAAGCTCTCCAAATCGGTGTCCAGAATAGAGAGAGTGGCAAGGCTACCATTCCTGGCGCTAATTTTCCCTCAAAGTTGATTTCGCTCTAAGTTGGGTGAGTCACTCTTTCAGTAGAGTAACGACCCTCCAATGCCCTTTATCACCGGCTACCAAACTTCTACCTCCCCCCCCCCCTATAAGTCTATTTATAGACCTTTCATTAGGGTTTCTGGGGAGGGAAAGTTGCTCTTCAATGCTTAGTCTTAGTTTCAACAGGTTTCCTCCAGCTTAGCCACCGTGCAAGGAATATTCTAGATGAATTTGAGTGCATAAGGGACGATTCTGGCTCCAGAGGTTGAGCCTTGATGTCCCCCAACACGTACAAAGTGGTCCACTAGGGTATTATGTCCTAAAAACACACGAAACACTACCAAGAGTGCATCAAAATATTCAAAGTGATCCTAGAGCTACTAAAACACACTTTGAGTGATCATGAAGCAAATTCAATATATCATAACGATAAATATGTGAAACAATGAATTCTGTTCATAATGAGGTATAAAATAGTACTTCTTACGTTTCATTATGATACAATGTCCAGTATGGTTTCACCTAGTGCACCACTCTGTTTAGAAGAACACGTCGAATTGGGATCGATGTGCTTGGATCATGCCACGTTAACCTTACTGGAGAGATACACTCGCTCAAAATTTCTC